GTATATAGACTATAGAGAGAATAGGCTTTCACTCAAATGGAGATAGGAATAGAGAGCGAGAGTACTAAATACGAAATGAATTATTTGAGTCAACGGTCATTATTTTTGGTACACAGTATAAAATAGTATTGGGTGATATAGTTTAGGAAACTTCTATGTTTTTTCCTTCTTTGATCACATTGTATTATCTTATTTATATTACCAAACACGTCGAAGAGCTGTAGTGGTTTCAACATGATGATGGCCCCCTTTTGAATTAAAAGATACGTTATTGCACCTCATACATCTCGATGGGAAAACTAAATGGTTTTATCAACCAGATGACTATGATCAAAGGCTTAATTCATTTTGATTGCAAAAGAGGTGCAGTCGGTCCATTAAGATCTTTAGTTTTTGTTCCCTCTCATTTATAAGTATTTGGGATACTAATTTCACCTTACATTCGATTAGTTTGTTTAGGTGATAAAGTTGCGAGTTCCATTACCATAGATAAGTTAATGCATTTGAAATTTAATTTGACTATGAAAATATGAAGTTTGACCCAAACTACACCTGGGGGGGGGGGNACACAAGATATAATCACAGAAAAACCCATATTGGATAAAAGCTCGTGACACTTTACCAGTCAACAATCCAATATAAATGATTTAAAACTTACAATCCGTCATACTCGACTACTGCTAGTACTTTTTGACCTCTTGACTGTAATTCCAACAGCTCTCCTGGACTTCGTACTCTTGCACCAACTCCGAACTGCAGTTTCTAAAACTCTCCTGGATTGCGCTCTCCTACAGCAACTCCCAACTTTGTGAAATCGTTTATCTCTTGTGGATTAATGAAGAACACCACATTCTTCAACAACTGGAACTCCAGTTACCTTCCCTTGATTTTCAGAACTTCTGCCAGGTATGAAGGAATCAGCAGTTTGGTATTTGAACTATGAGTTTGATGTTTTCACCGTCAATTACCAATAATAGGATGAATGTTGAAAGGACATTTATCATGATGATATGATAAGAATATGTTTTTCACAATGTTCAACCTTAGAAATCTCGTTCAGAGAAGTTTAGGTATTTATATGTAGGTCAAGATATGAATGGGTCAGATGAAAAGACTTTAAAAACGAAATAAAAATTCCTTGGATAATCCTGACGCTCAAACGAGAGTTGGGTCACAGGCAAGCAACAATGTGTTGCTCGAGCTAAAGCCTGGTGACAGGCTAGCGATAGTGTTACTGTTTCTGACGCTCGAGCCAAGTCGTGATGACAGTCTAGGGAAATTGCAACTCTATTTTTCATTCTTTTCCATTGTCGAACCCTAGACCTAAAATACCTTAATTTTCACATAACTTCTTGACTTTTACAACATGTTAATTTTAGTCCCTTTTGTTCACAGATTTTCCAATTACATCAATTACCTAACAAACTCCCCCTTTAACATTTTGTGACAAAACTACTATCTAAAGTCAATGTAGTAGTGAAATAAACTGACACAATTAATAACTATCTTGATCGAATTTTTCTTTTCATTTATCAAAACATGTTTTCTGAAATAGACAACTCAAATACCAGTGTAAAATGTATGTGAAACAGTTAAGTGTGCAATTCAAGCAGTTAAATCAAGCAATTTATAGTGTAAAATTGATTTAAGCATTTAATGCATCTTTTCAGTTTCATATCATAAGCTAAATTAAGACGTAATATCAATACAACCCAACATACCAAAACGAAACATTGATACTATAAAACATCAAAACTTAATCTATCAATATCGGAATTATCATTGAATCAAAAGTTTGTAGATACATCATGTCAAATCAAATTATCATATACATCCAAAATATCTACTCTAAAATATCATATACATCTAAAATATATAATATCATATACACCCAAAATATCTATCTCTACTCCCCATTTTTATTACAAAATGACAAGGGATAACCTAACATCTAAGTGGCATCATCAGAATCCGTCCTTTCGTCAGAGGCTGCACCATCATCCCAATGACGACGAATCTAGCACAGCCCTCGCTGAAGACAACTAACAACACCACGAAGTGTAGTAAACTCAGTATTGTGTCGATCAACGATAGCCGACAACTAATCTCCACCATCATACGAACTTATTGCTCTATCAGCACAGTCATCTGTCCTATAAGCGCAACAGATGGGTGAATGGGAACAAATAGAATATCAGTAGGTGGAGGAGTAGGCACTGCGGGAGGAGGAGTAGAAGTAAAAGAAGATGGAATATCAGTGGGTGGAGGAGCAAAAGAAGAATGAGGAAAATTAGATGGGTCAACAGAAATAGGGTCATCAATAGGATCGGTGACACAATCGGATTAACTGGCTCAGCTAGCTCAGAAGAAGCATGAGACCGACTCTGAGAAATAGTAATGCAGCCAATCGGTTGAGAGACCCCCTCCAAAAACTAACACAAAGTGCTGTCAAAAGATGAGAAATAAGGCAAACATAAGGAAATCCCACCTGGGTCCTCGTGAAATGAAAGGCACTCAAGATCTGCTGACAAATGAATGAAGACAGATCAATAGAGTCGCCGTGCAGTAAGGCGTACAAAAATCGAGTATTCTCCATAGGTAAAGAAGAGGTATACAATACTGGTCATAGATTTGTACACACAATGCGTAACAGAATCTGGGGATTGGTAAGAAGTGATCCAGTGCGCTTCGCACCAAGACCATCCTCCAACGGTGTATTAAACACCGTAGAATGGATAAGAGAGTTTGCTGGAAGAGTATCAACAGAGAGCTAAGGGAATAAGGGATGGACGACTTGAGGAATATGTACTAAACTCGATAAGACATTGGGTGTGATATTAACTGTCATATCCGGAAGAAAAATCCTAAAAGTCGAATCGCTAACATCATGAATGTTAACATAAAACTCCTGAACGAGAAGGCTAGGAGGAGGTGTCAACTCAACTAGTAAAGGCTCCCAATCCCGGGAAGTAAAAAAGTAGCGAGGTTGGGTGACAAATTAGAGAAAATGACCTCGCACTCAAATAAAATCAGTCTCAAAGAAAATTGGGACCCAAAAGTGTCCTGGGTAGTCGCAGAGACAAACCTAGACCTACTGTAGGAAGTGAAAGTGCCAGGTGTTGGAGCAGTAGTACAAGCTCTCTTAGGGTGCATTTGAAACGGATAAAACCAATATATCAATACCACGTTTGAACACATGATATGCATGAAATCGAGGCAAACAAGACATATGTAATGCACCATTGGGTGAATGCACAAAAAGGAATGCTGTGATGCCTAGACGAAGGTGACGTGAGGCAAGGATGTCGAACATCGTGACATGATGCCCTGGCTGTGAGATGTGACGACGTGACATGGGAGACGCGATGACGTGATGACACGCCGCGGTGACGTGACGTCACCTAGAGATGTCAACACCAATACCAATATAAACATCATCAACACTACTAAACCAATACACCTAACGTGATCAAGGTGTGTGAATGAAAATCAACTAAGTGAGAAGAAGTGTAAATAAAATCGAACATTATACCAAAAAGAGCCCTACCACATTGGCAAACAACCACACAACTACAAACTAACCATCCTCCATCAACACTCCAAGCATCGAACACAAAATTCCCAAGAAGAATTAGACACAAATAAACTCAAAATGGTAGGAAAACACGCAATATCTCCACAACTCCAATACCCAACTCAACCACACCCAAGCAAACTACAAGGAATATCCCTAGTCCACTAAAAAGAACCTAAAAAGGAAAAAAAAAATGCAAACAACAATACCAAAATATCAAAAAAAATAAAAATAAAAGAGCTCCAAGCGAGCTCAATCAAAAAAAAGAAAAGAAAGCTAAGCACCCAAATGATGCAATGCAAGGTGTAACTACATGAGAGTCATCCAAAATGAAGTGAAAATGAAGAGATTGAATCAAGAACATCTAAGGGATTGTTGTCTTTGTGTTTTGAATTCATTTTGAGTTTTGTGTTTTGAGTGTTCATTTTGAGACCGTTGAAAATGTGTTCTTTTTGATATTTTGAAAAATTATTTTGAAAATAACCAAAATGCGTTTTGAAAATTTTGGCTTGGTGAACACCAAAAACGACAAATTTATCGTTTTAGGTTTTCTTTATAAATTTTTAACTTGTTTTCAAAAATCCGTTTTCGAAAATAGGAAAGAGAATGTGTTTTCACTATTTTGGAAAATCGAAAATAGAAAATCTCTTGAAAATGGTAAAGAGAACATATCCTAAATATCCCAAATAAACGAAAAAATTTTAAAAAATAGGGTTTTCGAATTTACCTTGAAATAATGGGAAAAAATGAATGGTATGTGGAATAAACAACCTAATAAAGGATGCAATGTGTTCAATTCAAGTTTGAAAGGACGGATTTTAGATGGGTATGAAGATTTTAGAAGAAAAAATGAGAGGGAAATGAAGAGATTCTGAAAAAAAATGGGAAAAAGACTGGGAAAGCCAAGTCTTAAATAGGTGGAGGCAAATCTTAAACCAAGTCTTTTGCATACTATGATATCATGTTGAATCACCACATCCAAACTATGAAGGACATATTTAAAATTTAGTCTATACTACTACAGTTTAGTGTGTTGTATGCAGAATCAATGCTTCAATAAAAACCGGGAAAGCCTTTTCAATTTATAATACAATTACCGTCCTAGCCTATTAAGGACTTGCTTGACAGGGCTTTTGCTTTTGTGGAAAGCTCTTACAAGCAGACAAACCACTCTTGGAAATTATTAGGCTAGAAGACGTTTAGTCTCAAAAGCAATTTTTGACTTTTCAAAACCCTGCGAAATGGGCCCCTAACCTCTTGGAGAAGTGCTTCAATGAAGTAATATATTGCATTGATTCTACTTTATTTGTTTCATTTTAAGGTGGACACTAAATGAACATCTTAATCATTTCTATTTCTTCAGAGATTTAAAAATCTATAACTGCTAGCAGATTTTCTGGAGTTAGTATTGCAATTTGGGATGATCATGATGTTTGCTTGTGCATTCCCACTCGCCTTTGCCTTTGCCACACTGGTACCGTGGGTTTTTTCTTTCTTTCCATAAAACAAAGTGGGAGACGGGAGATCTCTTTCTTTGTATCTAACTAATAACAGCTTATATTGCATGCTTGACTTGAGCAGAATAACCTGACTGAGATGAGAACAGATGAGCTAAAACTACTAGCCATGATGAGACGGCCTACGCCTCGTGCCGATGCGACCATTGGTGCTTGGCTAAATATATTTCAGGTAGTAATTGTTAAACCACTTCTTCTACAAGCTCAAGCTTTTAAAAGAGGGATAATCTAAAAGCTCACGACATTAAAGATGACCATATTTATTTATTTAAATTTAGATTTCAACACGGTCCATTGCATGCAAATCGAATTCATATATATATTTTTTTATCAATGATCTGGCACATGTACAATCTTTAGAATTGAGTGGAGAGATGAGAACAGATGGCCATATAACATTAAATCACCTCATTTAAAAGATTAATTGTTAGAAAGTCATTTAAATTTAGTCTACAATAATTTCTCTATGCCTGGACCACACCAGCATTAATCAGTTTCTCTCTCTCTACTTTTATAATCCCCCATTTTTGTAAATCTGTCCCGTGTCTTCAATTTCAGTTCCTGATAGTGATGTCAATTTGCACGAATTCCATCCTCCTAGTGTGCTTGTATGATCAGGGCGGAAAATGGAAAATATCGCCTGGTCTTGGAGCCATTCTCATAATGGAACACATGCTTTTGTTCATTAAATTTGGATTCTCTCGAATTGTCCCCGAGGTATCATTTGTCGAAATTCTTTTTATGTTTTTTACTATTGATAAAAAATTGTCAACTGTGCCAACTAGGGGGAGATGAACTGTATGCTTTATTTTTATTCTTTTATTTTTGGACAAAATAGGAGCCTGCTGTCGTAAGAGCTGCTCGAGTGAAAAATGCGACTCAGGCAGCGGAGATGTGTTCTAAGAAACTCTTGAGGAGTATATCAGGCGATGAAAAGATTCTCAGCCCAATGAAAAAGCACGCATAAGGTGGGAGATACATTGTCTCTACGAGTCATAAGGGAAACCGACTCTGATATTCAGTCTGGAGTTGAAAATGATCTGTGCAAATGTTATCTTTCATCTGTATGGTGAAAATGGTGGTGCTTCTTGTGATATATATCATTTTGACGAAGCTCTGTCCATGGTGTAAAATATGCTAGCATGATGGCATCTTGGTACATCAAATTGGACATGATCGCATCGAACTCACAGAACTGTAGGGCTGCTGAACCGACCCAAAACTTTCGATTCATTCATTAGAATTTTTCCTACAGAGTTTTTTCTAATAAGGTTTTAACAAGACATATTCTTTGTGTTGATATCCATAACCTACATGATATTTACCCTCAAAATACTATTATTATATGTTATAAATTGTACACGACTCCCAAAAAGAGTAACATCACAATCTATTTTTCAATAGATCATCATATAACTAGACATAAAGATTGGTAAATCTTATCCATGAAGACGATATTTCTTAAGGCTATATAACAAGACACACGAGATATGCTTCACTAGGATTGTAATATTAAAGACATTGACGTACAAGACATGGATGACTCAATATAATAATTTTCATTTATTAAAATCAGGGGAAGCAACCGTACTTTTTTTTCTTAACTCAAGTTTTGTTCCATTAAATTTTCTTGATGATGTGTTAACGAGACATATTTTGTATTGTGTCATTCAATGAGAGTGTTGTAAATAATATATTTATTAGAGATGACAAATATATTCCTGTAGTCCTATTTATTATCACCATTGTATTACTCACAACCCTAATTCTTTCCTATAAATATGGGGTTTTGATTGTCAATAAAAAAAATTATTGACTTATCTTATTTTCTCTCTTTTTATAACATGTTATCAGCATGATTATCTCAAAATCGAAGTGAATTAGTTAGAAGATGAAAGCATAATCATATGTCACGTGTACATGTACAGAAATTAATTTGGTGACATGATTTCTTTTATATACATATGCATCATAACAAAGCTGCTTGAATGTTTGGACATATGCATGATTTTATTTATTTTCTTATTTTTTCTTACCAACACAAGTGAGTAGGGTTTTTTTTTTTTTTTTGCATATCCGTTTGTATGCTTACCAACATATCCTGTTCGTATGTCCATATTCATGATTAATAATATTTAGTCAATTCATGCACGAGAGCATTATTTGCTTATTTGTATAGAATTTAAACAAATTTGTGCTCTTTAATTTCATGACTAATTCATGTTTGTAATTTGTGCATGTTTATATTTGCTCTTTAGACAATTTTTTATTTATTTACAATTCCTTCTTCTTCTTCTTCTTCTTTTGGATTTGTATAGAATTCTCAGCTTTTGTGTCACATGCACACCTTGTATAGAATTTAGTCAATGGACCATGTTAGTTGTACAATCGAGGTTGACAACCAATCACATGGGGGTCCACTTTTTTGTTGTTGAATTTTTTAAACACGCGGACCCCGTACACATGTCAGAGGTTGTTAACCTCGGTTGTACAAGTAGAATTATCCTTAGTCAATTCGTTCATAGAGTTTGTGTGCATGATTATTTTTTATTTACTAATACACGGGAAAAATACAAATTTCTATTAAATATATCTGTTTATGATGATTATTAAATACTCTTTGTGTCTTTAACCTCATTAAATACTTTTAGATGTTATATTATAAATTATAAATTGGTAAATTATTATGTTGTTGTTCCTAAGAAGTACAACTTTGCAAATATTACATTTTGCTAGAAAATATACTCTTGAAGAGTTAATGTTTTTAAATAATAATTTATTGTTACTCTTGAAATAACAAAACATGAAAGTTAGGGTGCGTTTGATTGCAATGGTGGAAAATGGGTGGAAATAAAATGTTTTACAGGGAAAAGATTTGCCTAGAAAATATTTTGCAGGGAAAATGATTTCAAGTGTGTTTGATTGGTATAATTTTCCACCCAAAAAATTTTTAAATTTTCTATTCATTTGGCTTTGTTTTACATGAAA